ATAAATAGCATCCAAATAGAAAAAGAAGTAAAACTGTTTCTTTTTGCTGATGACATTGCCTAACATAGAGAACATCCTAAAAGGGCCAGGCATAGTGGCTCACACCTGTAATCTCAGCACTTTGGGAGGCCAAGGCGGGAGGATCACTTGAGGCCAGGAGTTTAAAACCAGCCTGGGAAATATGGTAAAATCCTGTTTCTACTAAAATTACAAATATTAGCTGGATGTGGTGGCACATGCCTATAATTCTGGCTGCTTGAGAGGCTGAGGCAAGAGAATTGCTTGAGCCTGGGAGGTGGAGGTTGCAGTGAGCTGAGATTGCGCCATTGCACTCCAGCCTGAGTGACAGAGCAAGACTCTGTCTCAAAAAAACAAAACAAAAAAAGTCCACTGAAAAACTATTCAAACTGATAAATTCAGTCACCTTGTAGGGTACAAAATTAGCACTCAAAACTCAGTAACATTCCTTAGCACAAACAACAAAGTACTTGAAAAAGAAATTAAGAAACCAACCCCATTCACAATGTCATAAACAAAATAATGAAGAGTAACTTTAATCAAGGAGGTGAAAAATCTGTACACAGAAAACAGTAACATTGATGAAAAATTATAGTCAACATAAATAAATGCTGAGTTATCAAGTGTTCATGGGTTGGAAGAATTAATATTGTTAAAGTATCCATATTACCCAGAGCAATCTTCAAACTCAATGCGATCCCATCAAAATTTCACAGAAATAGAAACAATTCTAAAATTTGAATGGAACCACGAAAGACCTCCAAAGCCAAGGCAACCATGAACAAAAATATAAAAGCTAAAGCCATCATAGTACCTTACTTCAAAACTGATCACAAAGCTATAGGAATTAAAACAGAGTGGTTCTGGCATAAAAACAGACACATTGGTCAGAGGAACAGGATAAAGAGACAAGAAATAAATCCATTCATTAAGGTCAATTCATTTTTTATAAAGATGCCAAGAACACACAATGGAGAAAGAATAGTATCTGTATTAAATACTGTTGGGGAACTTGGATAACCACAAGAATAATGAAATGTGACCCTTATCTAACACCACATACAAAAATAAACTCAAAATGGATTAATGCCTTTAATGGTTGGAGGTGGAAATATGCCCAAACAGAACAAACAGAGCAAACAGGTGAGAGATTGTGGTACCTGGTTTTAACACATGAATGTTCATTGCAGCACTGTTTACAACAGCAAAGACCTGGAACCAACCCAAATGCCCATCGACGATAGACTGGATAGGGAAAATGTGGTACATATACACCACGGAATACTATGCAGCCATCAAAAATGATGAGTTCGTGTCCTTTGTAGGGACATGGATGAACCTGGAAACCATCATTCTCAGTAAACTGACACAAGAGCAGAAAATCAAACACCGCATGTTCTCACTCATAGGCGGGTGTTGAACAATGAGAGCACATGGACACAGGGAGGGGAGCATCACACACTGGGGTCTATAGGGGGACATAGGGGAGGGACAGTGGGGGGTGGGGAGTTGGGGAGAGAGAGCATGGGGAGAAATGCCAGAAATAGGTGAAGGGGAGGAAGGCAGCAAATCACACTGCCACGTGTGTACCTATGCAACAATCTTGCATGTTCTTCACATGCACCCCAAAACCTAAAATGCAATTTAAAAAAATGAGACGGAAGCAATGACTGTGTCCACACCAAGCCCCGCGCCCGTGAGAAGCATCAGCACCTTGAACTACCTGGAATGCTTGTCCATGGGGGCAGCTGCCGACAAGAGGGCAGACGCGGCCAGAACTACATCCACCTTCAAGTCGCCAGCGTCCTAGCCAGAGACCGTGGCTCCTAACGATGCCAACGGGACTGGGAAGCCACCTTTTCTCAGCGGAGAAAACCCCTTTGCCACTGTGAAGCTCCGCCCGACAGTGACGAATGATAGCTCAGCACCCATCATTCGATGAGAAGACAGCCCAGGACTCTCCCGGGCCTCTCCTGTCCTCCCTTTCGGAATGATGGGCACGTCCTGTCTGCCTCGTGCCCTCGGGAAGCTTCAACTGAGGAGCCTGACTCCAATGTCGCCTGCCTGAGCAAATCATGCTTCTGTATCACATTGTTGGGTTGACACGTTTCTGCCTTTAAGATAAATGAGTAATAGTCTAATGACCAGCTCAATCATTTAAAATATTTTCTTCTTATTCTGTTCAAGAAGCAGTGAACATGGTTTCAATCTTTACTGTATTTTTTAATGAATTCTTTTCCTTAATAAAGCCAGAATAAGGGATAAAAAAAAATTAAAAAAAAAAAACAAAGAAAGCGACAGTGAAGAAGGTAGGAAGGACAGTCTTGCGTTGTCTACACTGCCCACCCCCAGCCTCAGGCAACACAGCATGGAGAGAGAATCTGTGTATTTGGGGGAAGGAGCGGGAAGTGAGTGTGAGACTTTGCATTGGAGCTCAGTGCCGTCTTGTCACAGTGGAACTCAACATCAGGGAGCATTCTGCCAGTGCCCATTGAGACCAGCACTCGGCCAGAGGGGACTCCTTCATCCCAAAGGAAGGAAAATGAGTTCCAGCCAGCTTCACCACAGCCTGATTACAATGGCCTGGGGCCTTTAATAAATTCAAGTGGCAGTCAGCCCACAGTGACTGCAATCTTTGGGCAAAGCTTGGTGCTGCACTGGTCTTGGAGGCAGTGGGCTTGGAATATGACCCAACGTGACACCAGCTGTGGTGGCCATGGGAGTGCCTACATCACCTCTCAACTCAACTCCAGACAGAGGAGTATGTGGAGAGACCCCTTCCACTTGGGGAAAGAAGACGGAGGAATATGGAGTACTTTGGCAACTCAGGTACCTGTTGAGCCACAGTAAAATAAAGCACCAGGCAGATTCTTGAGGACCTCACTTCCAAGCCTTTCCTCCTGAATAACATTTCTAGGCCCACCCATGCCAAACGGGAATCCACTGTTCTGATGGGACAGACTCAGCCATAGCAGAATTCCCCACCTGCTGACTAAAGTAGCCATGGGTCTTAAGTAAACATCGGTGGTAGCCAGGCAGTAGTGTCTGCAGACCTTGGGTGAGCCCAAGTACTGTGTTGGTGTAGGAGGCCATTGGCCTCAGGTGTGACTCAGTGTGATGCCCGCTGTGGTGGCCATGAGTGCCTGAATGACACCTCCCACATCTCCAGGCAGCCCAGCATAGAAAGAGACTCCTGCTTGGGAGAAACTGAAGGAAGAGAGCAAGAGACTCCACCTGGGAACCCAGGGAATTCTCTTTTATCTTCCCCAAGTCCACCAAGGCTGTGTATCTGAGTCTGCAAAAATCATAGTGTTCTGGCCGGACGTGGTGACTTAGTCCTGTAATCCTAGCACTTTGGGAGGCCGAGGCAGGCAGATCACCTGAAGTCAGGAGTTCAACACCAGCCTGACCAACATGGTGAAATCCTGTCTCCACTAAAAATATAAAAATTAGCCTGGCATGGTGGCGTACACCTATAATCCCAGCCTCTCGAAAGGCTGAGGCAGGAGAATCACTTGAACCCAGGAGGTGGAGGTTGCAGTGAGCTGAGATCGCGCCATGGCACTCCAGCCTGGGCAACAGAGTGAGGCCCTGTTTCAAAAAAAAAAAAAAAAATTGTAGCATTCTGGGGCTTATGGTGCCCCCTCGTGCTGAGAGGCTGCCATGACCACCACAGGTTTAGGTAATAACACTCAATCCCCTTTGAATTCTCTTTTTTTGTTGTTTAGCTTTTAAGTTTAGGGTTACACGTGCAGGTCTGTTACACTGATAAACCTGTGTCCTGGGGGATTGTTGTACAGCTTTTTCATCACCCAGTTATTAAGCCTAGTACTAGTAGTTATTTTTCCTGATCCTCTCCTTCCTCCCACTTTCACTTTCCAAAAAACCCAGTGTGTTTTGTTCCCCTCTATGTGTCCACGTGTTCTCATCATTTAGCTCCCACTTATAAGTGAGAACATATGGCATTTGGTTTTCTGTTCCTGCCTTAGTTTGCTAAGGATAATGGCCTCCAGCTCCGTCCCTGTTCCTACAAAGGATGTAGTCTCACTGCACAGAATTCCTTGGTGTATATATATTACATTTTCTTTATCCAGTCTTCCATTGATGGGCATTTAGGTTGATTCCATGTCTTTGCTATTGGGAATAGTGTTGCATTGAACACACACATGCATGTGTCTTTATAATAGAATGACTTATATTCCTTGGGTATATACACAGTAATGGCATTGCTGAGTCAAATGGTATTTCTGTCTTTAAGGTCTTTGAGGAATCGCCACATTGTCTTCCACAATGGTTGAACTAATTTACACTCCCACCAACAGCATTCTTTTCTCTCCACAATCTTGCCAGTATCTGCGATTTTTTTTTTGACTTTTTAATAATCGTTTTGACTGGTGTGACATAGTACCTCATTGTGGTTTTAATTTGCGTTTCTCTAACAATTAGTGATATCGAGTTTTTTTCATATGCATGTTGGCTGCATGTATGTCTTCTATTGAAAAGGTTTGTTCTTGTTCTTTGACCAGTCTTTAATGGGGTTGTTTTCTTCTTGTAAATTTAAGTTTCTTAGAGAGGCTGGATATTACACCTTTGTTAGATGCACAGTTTGCAAACATTTTCTCCTATTCTGTAGGTTGTCTGTTTACTGTCTTGATAGTTTATTTTGCTGTGAAGAAGCTCTTTAGTTAGATCCAATTTGTCAATTTTTGTTTGTATTGCAATTGCTTTTGGCTTTATCATAAAATCTTTCCCCTGCCCATGTCCTGAATTGTATTACCTAGGTTGTCTTCCAGGGTTTTTTTTCAAGTTTTAGGTTTTACATTATTCAAACCAAATAAGAAAAAATATATAGCACTGTATATGCAAATTGAAACACTGTCAAATAAAAGACATTATAATATACTTAGGAAACTCTAGAAAAAATTAGGAAGCCCATTTAGAAATTAATAGAATCAAGAAAAAATAGTTAACACATACTCAAATCAGTAATATTCTTAATTATTTATTTAATTCTCTTGAAAGTCTCATATACACCGTCAAGTAGTCACGTTCACAAACTTAACTTTCATAAATTCAGCAGCACTCTTAGGAACACTAGGAGAAGAAGAACTCCATAGAAATGCAACTGTAATAGTCAGTGAGGGAGGTGAATTTCTGCTCCATTCAATAGTCCAGGTCTTCATCAAGGTATCTTCAAGGCTGAACTAAAACCATAAATAGAAAAATGTCATTTTCCTCTTCATATGCATATAAGAATTCATTACATTATAACACAAAGACAGACTCACTTATGTTAAAAATTATACTACTTTCCTGATAAGAAACCTTAAATGCTATTTTTTTTAACTTCCCTGTGCATAAGAATTACTTTTATTCCATGGAAATACAGAGGAATTAACAAATGTCATTTTTAGGAGCTGGCAAGATGGCTGAATAGAAACAGCTCCAGTCTGCAGCTCCCACTGAGATCAAAGCAAAAGGTGGGTGATTTCTGCATTTCCAACTGAGTGGCGCCTGAAACCCCAGGGAGACAGACCCATTCACTCCCCTGTAAAGGGGGCTAAAGCCAGGGAGCCAAGTGGTCTTACTCAGTGGGTCCCATTCCCACTGAGCACAGCAAGCTATGAGAAACTCTGCTAGCACAGCCATCGGAAGTCAACCTCAGACAATCAAGCTTGGTCGGGGAGGGATGTCTGCCATTACTGAGACTTGAGTAGGTGGTTTTTGCCTGACAGTGCTAAGGAGGCCAGGAAGTTCAGTCTGGGCAGAACTCACCACAGCACGGCAAAGCGGCTGTGGCCAGACTGCCTCTCTAGATTCGTCTTCACTGGGCAGGGCATCTCTGAAAGAAAGGCATCATCCCCAGTGAGAAGGTTATAGATAAAATTCCCATCTCCCTGGGACAGAGAACCTGAGGGAAGGGGTAGCTATGGGTGCAGCTTCAGCAAACTTAAATGTTCCCGTCTGCTGGCTCTGAGGAGAGCAGGGGGTCCTGACAGAGAATTGTCCCAGCACAGCACTGGAGCTCTGCTAAGGACAGACTGCCTCCTCAAGTGGATCCCTGACTCCCATGCCTCCAGACTGAGAGAGACCTCCCAACAGGGATTAACAGACACCTCATATAGTAGAGCTCTGGCTGGCATCAGGCCAGTACCCCTCTGGGATGAAGCTTCTACAGGAAGGAACAGGCAGAAATCTTTGCTGTTCTGCCACCTCCGCTGGTGACACCTAGGCAAATAGAGTCTGGAGTGGACCACCAGCAAACTGCAGCAGACCTGCTGCAGAGAGGCCTGTTAGAAGGAAAACTAGCAAACAGAAAGCAATAACATCAACATCAACATCAACAAAAAGGAATGTCACACAAAAACCCCAAACAAAGGTCATCACCCCAAACATCAAAGGTAGATAAATCCATGAAGACAGAAAAAAACTATGCATAAGTGCTAAAAATTTCAAAAACCAGAATGGTGCTTTTTCCAAATGATCACAACTCCTCTCCAGCGAGGGCATGAAACTGTGCAGAAAATGAGTTTGATGAACTGACAGAAGCAGGCTTCAGAAAATGGGTAATAACAAACTCCTCCAAGCTAAAGGAGCACATTCTAACACAATGCAAGGAAGCTAAGAACTTTGAAAAAGGTTACAGGAACTGCTAAGTAGAATAACCAGTTTACAGAAGAAACTAAATGACCTGATGGAGCTGAAAACCACAGCATGAGAACTTTCTGCATCATACACAAGTATCAATAGCCGAATCAATCAAGTGGAAGAAAGAATATTAGAGATTGAAAAACAACTTACTGAAAAAAGGCATGAAGACAAGATCAGAGAAAAAAGAATGAAAACAAACAAACAAAGCCTCCAAGAAATGTGGGACTATGTGAAAAGACTAAACCTATGATTGATTGGTGTACCTAAAAGTGACAAGGAGAATAGAACGAATTTGGAAAATACACTTCAGGATACTATCCAGAAGAATTTCTCCAAACTAGCAAGACAGGTCAACATTCAAATTCAGGAAATACAGAGAACACCATAAAGATACTCCTCAAGAAGAGCAATCCCAAGACCCATAATCATCAGATTCACCAAAGTTGAAATGAAGGAAAAAATGTTAAGGGCAGCCAGAGAGAAAGGTCAGGTTACCTACAAAGGGAAGCCCATCAGACTAACAGCAAATCTTTCTGCAGACACCATACAAGCCAGATGAGAGTGGGGGCCAATATTCAACATTCTCGAAGAAAAAATTTTCAATCCAAAGTTTCATATTCAGCCAAACTAAGCTTCATAAGCAAAGGAGAAATAGGATCCTGTACAGACAAGCAAATGCTGAGGGATTTTGTCACCACCAGGCCTGCCTTAAAAGAGCTCCTTGAAGGAAGCATTGAATATGGAAAGGAAAAATCAGTACCAGTCACTGCAAGAACAAACCAAAATATAAAGGCCAATGACACTACGAAAAAACTGCATCAACTAATGTGCAAAATAACCAGCTAGCATCTTGATGACAGGATCAAATCACACACAACAATATTAACTTTAAATGTAAATGGGCTAAATGCCCCCAATTAAAAGATACAGACTGGCAAATTGGATAAAGAGTAAAGGCTCATCAGTTTGCTGTATTAAGGAGACCCATATCATGTGCAAAAACACACATAGGCTCAAAATAAACGGATGGGGACTTAACAAGCAAATGGAAAGCAAAAAAAAAGCAGAGGTTGCAATGCTAGTCTCTGATAAAACAGACTTTAAATCAACAAAGATGAAAAAAGACAAAGAAGGGCATTATATAATGGTAAAGGGATCAATGCAATAAGAAGAGATAACTATCCTCAATATATATGCACCCAATACAGGAACACTCAGTTCATAAAACAAGATGTTAGAGACCTACAAAAAGACTTAGACTACCACACAATAATAGTGGGAAACTTCAATACCCCATTGTCAATATCAGATGGATCAATGGGGCAGAAAATTAACAAGGATATTTAGGACTTGAACTCAGCTCTGGACCAAATGGACCTAATAGACATCTACAAAACTCTCCACCCCAAATCAACAGAATATACATTCTTCTCAGCACCACATAGCACTTTTTCTAAAATTAACCACATAATCAGAAGTAAAACACTCCTCAGCAAATGCGAAAGAATAGAAAGCATAACAAAGTATCTCAGACCACAGTGCCATCAAATTAGAGCTCAAGATTAAGAAACTCACTCAACAACAACAATGAAAACACACACACAAAAAAAAAAAAAGAAGAAGAAGAAAAAAGAAACTCATTCAAAACAACACAATTGCATGGAAACTGAACAACCTGCTCCTGAATGACTACTGAGTAAATAACAGAATTAAGACAGAAATAATGAAGTTCTTTGAAACCAATAAGAACAAAGACAAAACATACCAGAATCTCTGGGACACAGCTAAAGCAGTGTTAAGAGGGAAATTTATAGCACTAAATGCACACATCAGAAAGCAGGAAATAGCTAAAATCAACATCCTAACATCACAATTAAAAGAACTAGAGAAGCAAGAGCAAACAAATTCAAAAGCTAGCAGAAGACAAGAAATAACTAAGATTCAGCAGAACTGAACTAGATAGAGACAGAAAAAAACCCTTCAAAAAATCAATCAATCCAGGATCTGGTTTTTTGAAAAGACAAAATAGACTGCTAGCCAGACTAATAAAGAATAGAAGAGAGAATAATCAAATAGATACAATAAAAATTGATAAAGGAGATATCACCACTGATCCCACAGAATTACAAACTACCGTCAGAGAATACTATAAACACATCTACACAAATAAGCTGAAAAATCTAGAAGAAATAGATACATTCCTCAACACATACACCCTCCCAAGACTAAACCAGGAAGAAGTCGAATCTCTGAATAGAACAATAACAAGTTATGAAATTGAGGAAGGAATTAATAGCCTACCATCCAAAACAAACAAACAAACAAAAAAAGCCCAGGACCAGATGAATCCACAGCCAAATTTTGCCAGAAATACAAAGAAAAGCTAATACCATTCCTTCTGAAACTATTTCCAAATTAGAAAGGGAGGGACTCCTCCCTGACTCATGTTATGAGGCCAGCATCATCCTGATACCAAAACCTGGAATAGACACACACGAAAAAAGGAAATTTCAGGCCAATATCTCTAATGAACATTGATGGGAAAATCCTTAATAAAATACTTGCAAACTGAATCCAGCAGCACATCAAAAAGTACCATGATCAAGTTGGTTTCATCCCTGGGATGCAAGGCTGGTTCAAAATACAAAAATCAATAAATGTAATCCATCATATAAACAGAACCACAGACCAAAACGACATGATTATCTCAATAGATACAGAAAAGGCCTTTGATAAAATTCAACACCTTTTCATGCTAAAAACTCTCCATAAGCTAGGTATTGATGGAACATATCTCGAAATAATAAGAGCTATTTATGACAAACCCACAGCCAATATCATACTGAACGGCAAAAGCTGGAAGCATTCCTTTTGAAAACCGGCACAAGACAAAGATGCCCTCTCTCACCACTCCTATTCACAGAGTATATTGGAAGTTTTGGCCAGGGCAATCAGGCAAGAGAAGGAAATAAAGGGTATTCAGATAGAAAAAGAGGAACTGAAATTACCTCTGTTTATGGATGACATGCTTGTATATTTAGAAAACCCCATTGTCTTAGTTCAAAATCTCCTTAAGCTGATAAGCAATTTCGGCAATGTCACAGGATACAAAATCAATGTGCAGAAATCACAAGCATTTCTGTATACCAATAATAGACAAGCAGAGAATCAAATCATGAGTGAACTCCCATTCACAATTGCTACAGAGAGAATAATATACCTAGGAAAACAACTTACAAGGGATATAAAGGACCTCTTCAAGGAGAACTACAAACCAGTGCTCAAGGAAATAAATGAGGACACAAACAAATGAAAAAACATTCCATGCTTATAGTTAAAAAGAGTCAATATTGTTAAAATGGCCATTTTGCCCAAAATTATTTACAGATCCAATGCTATCTCCATCAAGCTACCATTGACTTTCTTCACAGAATTAGAAAAAACTACTTTAAATTTCGTATGGAACCAAAAAAGAGATTGTATAGCCAAGATGATCCTAAGCAAAAAGTACAAAGCTGGAGGCATCACGCTACCTGATTTCAAACTATACTACAAGGCTACAGTAACCAAAACAGCATGGTATTGGTACCCAAACAGATATAGACCAATGGAACAGAACAGGGGCCTCAGAAATAACACCACACATGTACAACCATCTGGTCTTCAACAAACCTGACAAAAACAAACAATGGGGAAAAGATTCCCTATTTAATAAATGGTGCTGGGAAGATTGACTAGCCATATACAGAAAATAAACTGGACCCCTTCCTTACACCTTATACAAAAACTAACTCAAGATGCATTAAAGATTTAAACATAACACCTAAAACCACAAAAATGTGAGAAGAAAACCTAGACAATACCATTCAGTACATAGGCATGGGCAAAGACTTCAAGACTAAAACACCAAAAGGAATTGCAACAAAAGCAACATTTGACAAATGGGACCTAATTAATCTAAAGAGCTTCTACACAGCAAAAGACACTATCATCAGAGTGAACAGGCAACCTACAGAATGGGAGAAAATTTTTGCAATCTATGCATCTGACAAGTCTAGCATCCAGAATCTACAAGGAACTCAAACAAATTTATAAGAAAAAAACAATCCCATCAAAAAGTGGGAATATGAACAGACACTTCTCAAAAAAAGACATTTATGTTGTCAACAAACATATGTAAAAAAGCTCATCATCACTAATCATTAGAGAAATGCACATCAAAACCACAATGAGATACCATCTCATGCTAGTTAGAATGGCGATCATTAAAAAGTCAGGAAACAACAGATGCTGAATAGGATGTGGAGAAATAGGAATGCTTTTACACTGTTGGTGGCAGTGTAAATTAGTTCAGCCATTGTGGAAGACAACATAGCAATTCCTCAAGGATCTAGAACCAGAAATACCATTTGGCCCAGCAATCCCATTACTGGGTATATACCCAAAGAATTATAAATAATTCTATGATAAAGACACATGCACATGTATGTTTATTGCAGCACTATTTACAATAGCAAAGACATGGAACCAACTTAAATGCCCATCAAAAATAGACTGGATAAAGAAAATGTGGCACATACACACCATGGAATACCATGCAGCCATAAAAAAGGATGAGTTCATGTCCTTTGAAGGGACATGGATGAAGCTGGAAACCATCATTCTCAGCAAAGTAACACAAGAACAGAAAACCAAACACTGCATATTCTCACACACAAGTGGGAGTTGTACAACGAGAAACACATGGACACAGGGAGGGAAACGGTACACCAGGCCCTGTGAGGGGGTGGGTGGTAAAGGCGGGGAGAGCATTAGGACAAATACCTAATGCATGTGGGGCTTAAAACCTAGATGATGTATTGATTGGTGGAGCAAAGCACATGAAACAAATCTGCATGTTCTGCACATGTATCCCATAACTTAAAGTAAAATTTTTAAAAAACAAGAAACATTATTTTCAAAATCACCCTCATGTGATTCTGAAGCAGTTATTAAGCAGTGATTACTCTTTAAGGAAAAAGTAGTTCGATTATTATTTATCACATCAGAAAACATTCATATGCTTCAGATTATAAATCAAAACTTATTCATAGTTCTCATTTTACAACACTGCCAGAATATTTAGCTTCTTTATGCCCATTGAAATGCATAATTTTATAGATGTAAACATTATATTTAATTATAGCCAAAATATACATAGAATCATGTTGTCATATTTTACAGGTGATTTTTCCTTTTTTGATTGGTTAAATCATAATTTTTCCCGCCACTACTCCAATCACTTTGTTTCTAGTTTTTTGCCGCTATCAACAACATTGCAAAAAGGAATCTTTGTATATTTGTCATTACATACTAGCGACTTTATTGGTATTGGAAGAAATTCTCAGGGATAGAATTGTTGGGTCAAAGGATCTGTGAAGCTTTGAAAATAATTTTTCCTGTATGAGGCGGTTTTTTTGGTTATGCAGCTGTCTGGAAGCCGCTTGATAAGGCTGTCCGCAGAGGCGCTGCTGGGCTGCCTCGGGCGCAGCCCGGCCGCTGGGTAGTCCTCCTGGGTTTTGCTTACACTGGTGAGGTTAGACCCGCCTTCCCAATGGCGGGCGTCATTCCTCCCACCAAGCTCCATCCTCCCGGCTGGAGTTCAAACTGATGTGCTGGCTGCAAAACTCTAGCAGGAGGGCTTCCGTTTGCTGGACTTTGTGGGGGTGGGACCCGCCAAGCCATAGCTCCTATTTCCCTGCTTTCAACTCTCCGTTTCTTGCCAGATTGCTTTCTCCAAAGGTTACCATATCTCACACTTCCAAGAGCAGTGTTTGAAACGAACTTTTTCTCTGTATTCCCACCAGTAATCAATATTAATGGTATTTTATATTTTTGTTAGTCTGATTTGTATAAAGTGATACCTCATTGTTAATTATAATTCCAGTCCTCCGGACACTTAAAAATATCTGTCATTTGAAGTTCATTTTGTGCAAATTGTCTTTTCATACCTTTGCCCAATTATCCATTGGATGTTACACATACCCATACATACACACAATTTACATTCACATATATTAACCCTTTTGTGCTCTGTACAATTTATAAAAACTCCATGTATACGTGTGTGTGTGTGTAGTATGTAAAATTAGCTCTGCATTTTATAGATGTCCACAATTTACATTTTGTGCACTTTGAGTTCCAACTTTCGTCCTTTGTCTCATCGATATTTCTTATATGCCATAAATAATATTTCAATAAGAAATACTTCCTCTGCATTTCATTTCTACATGTAGTTGTCCCCAAAGTGTCATTTTAAAACAGAAAATGTATCCAGTAACTCATTTCACAGTCTTTTTCTTTTGATGTATAGCTTAACTATACATCTTGTTCACATTTTAAATTTTTTCTCTTTTATGTTTTTCTCACGAAAGCAAGTTGTAAAATGCAATTCTAATCATCTTGTCTCATCCGAAACTTTCAAAGCTCTTCACCACCTCCTCAACAGACCCCAAAATTAAATTCGAGCATAAAATATCGCAGGTAAGACCATTCATTAAAGGGCTCTATGCAGCCTTTCCAGCTTAGACTCCCACCACCTTTTCTCTCCGCATGACCTGTTCATATTACCACCTATAGACTATGCTATCTTTTATTAAACAATCGTGTCTTTGCCAATAATATCTTTTATCTCTGTCTCTTGAGTGCTGAAAGTGCTACTTGTTACCATTAATATGTTCAATATATGTTCTTGAATAAAAAGCTTCATATAATTCCCTAAAGGCATGGTTCTTTTTTCTGCCTCTAGTTTGCACATACTGTGTCCTTTCTTTGGAATTGTCTATTTTTCAGTCATTTTTAAAGTTTACCTTAAATATCACATCGTCTTACAGCAACCCCAAATTTTCTCAGGGAAAGTTTCTGTATTCTTGTAATGTCTTGAATAATTGTTGCCATAGCATGTATTATACAATGCAGATGAATAGTTTGTCTTATCTTTTTTCTTAAATGATACCTGTAATGTCTTCAAAAGACTTATTTATATTTGTTTACTCAGTTTCTCCTTAGCTCTATGGATGTGTTATTATTGCTTACTATATATGTGTGTGTGTATAATTAAAAGATGAATGAGTCATTTTATCATAAGCTTTTACATAGTCTCGATATAGATATATACGTATACAAACATATACACATAAGCATATAAAATATGTATACATACATTCTTTCTAATGCCAGAGGAGCTCTCAGTCCTCAAAAGAAATGTAGCTGTTTTGAACAATGACTAATAAATTCTCCTCACTCACCTCACTGGGTTACAAATTCCCATTTTCCTTTTCAGTGTGCCTCCGAATGGCCTTCTTTTTCATTCCAGAAATAGGAAGAAATTTAGACACAGAAATTAGTTCAGCAGCATTGAAATCAGCTGACTTATTGGAATTTTCTGAAAGGAAGAAAATAATTACTGGGAAATAAACCAGACCTCTCCTCAAGTAACTGTGAGCCTCTCTGAGCAACTAAAAACACTAGCCACAAGCATGTGTGATTTCGAGGGCAGATAGAGTCTCTCCTATTCCTTTCCTTAAATATATTTCCTGACAAAGGAACAGTACATGTTTCTTACACCTTAAATATGATCCCTGACACCGTAGCAGATGCATAATTCTTTGGATTGAAGAAGTGAGGAAGCCCCCTCTCAGAAGGTCAGGGACCCTTCCTGGAGTAAAGACAATGGGTTTTTGGATATTTCTTCCAACTCAGTAAATTTATGCTGCCCAGAGGCAGAATTAGTGCATCCATGCTAAACTGAAGTTCAAGGACAAAGCAGCATGATGTGATGAAAAATAAGGCTAGTCCTGTGGATTTTGCAATAAAGAAATGGAAAGTTTAAGCTTTTAGGCTTTTAGGGAAATTATAATAAATATGAAGCTATAGAAAAAAAGTAATAGGAAATGGGAATGCAAGAAACTGTGAAAAACATACCTAGGTCAGAGGATACAAAGTAGCAGACATGTAGGATGAACAGTCTAGAGGTCTAATGTACAACATGAAGATTATAGGTACTAAAATTGTACTGTATATGAGATTCATGGTAAGTGAGGAGGTTTTGGCTGCTCTTGCCACAAGAGCAAAAAAGTAACTATGTCAGATGATAGATGTGTTAATTTGCTTTGCTTTAGTAAGCTTTTTACTGTCTATATACATCCCATAAAATTTTGTTGGATGCTTTAAATATACACAACAAAATTTATTTAAAGAAAAAAGTTAAACTGTCACTTTTGACAGTCTTTTGTAAGATTAATATAGATTAATATCTGTTTTAATAAAAGGAAGACCAGCTCAGAATATTCTGCTGCATGGTCTTTTGCATACCTCTGTCAGGAATAATCACAGGCCTCTTAAGCTAAAGGCCTCCCTATGACTGCAATTTTGATGTTCACTAAGAATAATTTTCAGTCATTCTTGTCCCTTATATGCATCTAAGCTTCCTACTACATTTTTAGATTTTTTTAAACTGCTTATCAAAGTAAAATGTCTAGGCCTCAATTGAAGCCACTGGTCTGAACCCCAGGGCAATAGACCCTCCAAGAACCTACAGACCTGAGGAATTTATTAGGTCCAGATCATCTGCATTCAGGCAAGAATTCATCTCCCGGTATTGAATTTGGTGGACAACATTCTCTCCTCTTGAGGAAACTGACAACAGAGATCCTAGGTTAGAGATCAGCCATCATCATAAGAATTTTCTTTCCTGTATGTGTGCTTTTTCCCAGCGCTGCAAACATACCTCGTCTTTATCCATGCTATTGTTTCTACCCCATTCCACCACCACGCTCTTCCCGTATCATGCCACACACTCAAATGAAATAGGCACAAGGCTAAATCTTCCCCACTGCCATTGTAGTAATATAACAACCCACTTTTCTTCCCCAAGTAAGCCAGCGGTCTTCCATAACTCACTGGAGCTTTTCTTTTTTTTTTTTTTTTTTGAGTCGGAGTTTCACTCTTGTTACCCAGGCTGGAGTGCAATGGCGCGATCTCGGCTCACCGCAACCTCCGCCTCCTGGGTTCAGGCAATTCTCCTGCCTCAGCCTCCTGAGTAGCTGGGATTACAGGCACGCGCCACCATGCCCAGCTGATTTTTTGTAGTTTTAGTAGAGACGGGGTTTCACCATGTTGACCAGGATGGTCTCGGTCTCTTGACCTCGTGATCCACCCGCCTCGGCCTCCCAAAGTGCTGGGATTACAGGCTTGAGCCACCGCGCCCGGCTGGAGCTTTTCTTAAGTCTCTCTAAAAGTCTTTTCTCTCCCCTCCATTCTCACTGTGGTTTTAGTACTTTTCATTTTTCACCGCAACTGTTAGAAAATGCCATCCCTCTCAGTCATGTGGTTTTCCTTGAATCCTTCATACATCCTGTGGCCAAAGATCTTCCTAAAAGACCTCAGACCATTTCACCCCCTACATAATACTCTTTAATGCTATGAATCTTACTGTGAAACATAAGAACGTCATAATTTGTGCCTTTTCTCTTCTTCAGACTTAGCAGCCTCTCTCCTTACACTCAACTTTTACTCCCCCCGCCCCACAGAAAAAAAACCAGAAATGCTTCATCCTTTACGCGTCTCTACACTTGTACATCGTCTTTTCTAGAATGTTCCTCATCCAATTGTCTGAGCCTCTATGTTGAAAATGTGTCCCCCAAACCTCTTTGAAGCCTCCAGTAACCCCCTTCCTTTCAGTTAATCACTCCCTTCCCTGTGCCACTTCCGTTCCTTATTCCTATTAATGTATAAGTATAATGGCTGCATTGTAGTGTATTTGTTTACATAGGTATCTCTTCCACTAGACTTGAAGGTTCCACCAAGATTTATTGCCCATGTCTGTATCTTCAGAGCCTAATACATTGCTCAACAGAACAGCAAAATTTCCAATAAGGCGATTGATTATAGTAAGAGAAAATAAATGTTGAGGCAAAATGCCATCCTAAACAATATATAAGATACTCATTCTGAACTTTCAATTCTATAATGCTCTCATTAAGCAGGTAGATAGAGCACAAGAATCCTCAATGCAACGTAAAGCCCCATTTCTCCTCAGAAATCGTATTCCCTCTATTTAAAAAAAGAAAAAAAAAAAATAGGGCTCCCTGTGTTGCCGAGGCTGGTCTTGAACTCCTGGACTCAAGTGATCCTCCTGCCTTGGCCTCCCAAAGTGCTGGGATCACAGGTGTGAGCCACCATGCCTGGCCCTTCCCTCTGTTTTGAGAAGCTGCTTAAGCCTCTTTTACATTCCATCTTTCTGGCCATTAGACTTGAGTCTAATATTTTTTCTTCCCAAGAACTTCCTTATCCTGTAGACACGTTAGATAAACCCTAATTTGATTCAAACCTGCAAGCCGCTGTCTTTGTCTTCGCTTTCGAGTCAAGAATAATGCGACGAAGATGACCAACAGAACAACCCCGAGGATCCCGACTGCAATAAGGGAGGACTGGCGGGATGAGCGACCTAAGTAAATATCAAGAGACAGGATATGTCTTATGGAAAATGCCAAGGTCCCTAGTCACTGACTCTCTCTTAGGTCAGACACAGGATCCCTGAGGTAAATATCAAATCCGCAGAACCTCTTCTGACCTAAAATTTCTAAACAACAACAACAAAAAATCTATGTATGCATATAATTGGTCCCATGATCATAAACTCCATAACATACCTGTTGTGGCCTTTTGTGGGTTTTTGTGCTCTGAAATATCTGTAGGAGAAAAGAGATAGAGGCTTAATTCTTTGAGTGATATATAGAACAAACATTTTTATTTCCTTGTCTGAACTCTTAGTCCCTCTCAACCAAGTAAATAACTCTTTCCCACCTAAAACTAGAGTCCTCGAGTCTTGTTTCTCTGCACAATGGATATAGGTCATATGCTTCTCCTTGGTGAAGGCCAGTATGTAACAATTGTTTTCGTCATTCTTTCAGTAGAGACATTATGCTTTTCTAATGAGAACCCCCACCAGATCCCTGTGTTGATAAGTCTGATTTTTACACAACACACATCACTGCCCAACCCCTCTTTGCTGCCAGGGATTACAAGCTCAATCCAGCCTTCCGGCACTTACTTGTACAATTCACTGCAGCGTCTTCCTTGTGCCCACATTCACTGTGGCCCCAGCGTCTGGCGGGACAATCCCACAAGGAAGACTCATTCCCTTTGCACTTGACTTCACTGAGCCATATGGGTCCAGTCCCCTGACCAAACTCTGCTTCTTTGAATGCTTTCAAAGCTGGACCACAACCAAGTTGTTGACACACCACGTGAGCATCGTTCAAGTCCCAGGAGTCATCACACACCGTCCCCCAGGAGCCTCCATGCCAGATCTCCACACGTCCGGAACAGGAAGTAGGTCCTTCTTGAAGTCTTATCTTGTCTGAAAAATCAGAGACATGTAGGCTATTTCTAAGATTTCTAAAAGCTTCCAAGAGTTCACAGGGGAAAAGAGAGATTTGAAACTTAAAAAAAAAAAAAAAAAACTATTTAAAATGTTACTGAATGTGCATTTTTTAATTTCTATTTTTACAAAATTTATCTTTTATGAAAGGACTTGTCATTTCAGCAAACTAGGTGTATTTCATCCTGCATCTAAGATACATGGTGTGACTCAGTAAATGTTAAATGATTAAAGTTAACATTATAAATATGTGATGTCAGTTTCTTTCAAGTGGACACGATCTTGGGAAATTGCCAGGTTGATAGAAATCTCACATTTCTAGAAGATGTCGAGTGTAGAAATACTTCAGGACTGATCTTTCTGACTGCTTTTCTCCTTATATTAGTGTAACAAGATAATATTTGAAAAATGGGAAAGGTAAAGTAGACCACGCAACAGTCAAATATTAAATCACATATTCTCTCCTCCTCAGAGAAGGCAATTGAAAAAACCTTTCCAGCAGACCATGGGAAGTATGATCTCCTTTGGAATAATAATCACTGGTCCTGAATACCTGCAGGTCAAATTAAATAAAATCAACTACACCATCCAAGTGGAATAGATATTACCCACAGGTTACCCATCCTTGCTTAATTAGATCTAACACCTTAAGCCAGTATGAGAAGAGAAAAAGAAAATCCAATGTGCCTTATCAGAAGATGAGAGTGGGGCTGCAGAATGGAATTTTCATACGGGTTGATGGATACTCACTGTCACATGTGATCCAGGTCTCCTCCGAGGGGTTGGCCAGTCTCTGCTCCCATGGAGATGACAGGCACTGCCACAGCGTGTCAGGTCCTTTTGGGCACTGAACATTGTCCACCCACATGGGAATGGACGTTGCCTTCTCTAAAGACACAGCGTTGATTTTCCCCCTGTCTCCGCAGCCCAGCTGCCTGCACACCACACTCACAGTGGTTTCAGACATGCCACTCCTGCCAACACTGCCCCAGGCTCCATGGTAAAAAACTTCCAAACGCCCTGCGCAGGCCTCTCTGCTGGCTTCACTGGTCAGTCTCAGAGACATGAACTCTGCAGTGAAACACAGAATTAGTAGTTTTGCATCTTTCCTGAAGATTTAGATACTCCTTCCCTTTACCTTGATGTAAGAGTGGCTTTAAAAATAGGTACAATATGTCAGTTACTAATAATTCTTTAGTAACTTCTGGATAATTTCATAGATGTTATTAAAACAGAGTATTTATTCTACAAATATATTACAGTTTTTTAGTCTTAGGTTTTGTACTCAGGGACCTCTTTAGATTACCCTCAATGATTCTAAGAGGATTTCCAGATCTCAAACGCTCAGAGCCTTTTTCAATTACATAGTTTGGATTTTTTCCCCAAAAATACTCTGGTGGTGGTTGTTGTTTTGCAACTGTCTTTGATAGTTAAAATTGTCAGACACTTCGGCACTAAAATCAATGTTTTGTGTACATGTCTTAAAATGACATAGTTCGTTTGCTGACACTTCAGTTCTGCTGTGCATGTCTTCTACCAGACTTATGTCATTAAAACGGGAATAAATCACTTCTGGCGTACAGAGCTTTTCACTTCCTTAAGTTACTGAATCATAGTACTGTTTCTCCCAATATATTATGAAATAGTACATTTTTAGATTTCAGAATGTTTTCTAAAACTCATCATGTATACAAAGCAAGGACAGTAATCTCATGCTAATTTTTGTTTCTGTGACAAGTAAATCTCATTTATCTGCCATGAAAAATTGTTTGGGCATGGTAATTATCTTTTTTTACTGTAGAATGATGCACCATATGTATTTCTTCTTGTCCCATTAAATCTACTTCTTTATTAATACAGTAATTATCAGGTGGTGCCATGCGGATCGCTCTCTAATATCCAGCTCCAAACATATCTATTAAAAACCTTCATTATTAGCTCTGTTGTCATCTTCATTATCTACAAGACCATTTCTGGTCTCTTCTCTTTACAATATCACACCACGTTGCACATGAAGTAGCACTGGCTCATCAAACTCAAGCTTCTGGTATCCCGACTCCTGCGCTCATTCCTTTTGGACCTGCTTTTCAGGAAAATCTTTAAGATTAATATCCCTCACTACTCGTCTTCAGTCCTTTCTCTGTGGAATTGTGACCAGAGGTTATAGGCATAATTTACCTGAGCAGATGACTCCTGCATCCTCCTTGTGCCTGCAATTTTGCTGCCCCCAGCCATGTGAATGGCACTGCCAAATGCGGGATTCTTCTCCATTGCATTTCATCTCATCCAGCCAGATGGGCCCTGTTCCTTCCCCAAAATAAGCAGAACCAGTGGCATTCACGGCCTCTCCACAGCCCAGCTGTCTGCACACGACATGGGCGTCACTCAGGTCCCAGCTGTCATCACAGATGGTGCCCCAGGAGCCCTCATGATAGATCTCTACTCTCCCGGCACAGCGGCCTCCCCCGTTTACCAGGCGAAGTTGACCACTCTCTGCAAAGAGAAATGAAAATATTAATAACAAGCATTCCAAAGGATTGAGGAATGCATGTTATTCATATTTTCATAGATTGGTCACAGAGTCTCACCTATGCAGGGCACAGCGCTTTCTTCTGGAGTGGTAGGCGTTGTCGGGCCCAAGGATGATGAATTGCACGGGGACAGGGTTTGGGATTGGTTCCCTGCAAACGCCAAAGTACTCAGTCATACGAGATACAAAAGGCTCGGGGCTCAGGTGGAATGTTATCTGCATGAGTGAGGACAGGCATAGCTCAGAGAGAGAGTGGAAGGTGGACAGTCAGTAAGTTTGGAATAAATCAGGTGCTTTGAGGTGGGCTTGGCTCATAGTAAGCACTGGACAACTATGACTCCATCAAAATTAGGTTTGCTCACTCTCTGAAAAGACAAATGAGGTTAATATTCTGAAGCATGAATTAGTATTCATTCTTCTCATGACCCTTCAAAATGGATCATGGCCTTTCACTTTTGTTCTTCATCCCTAGGTACACCTGCTCTTACGACCCATCACTGGCTGCCCTTCATTCTCTTACCTGAGCAGATCACAGAGGCCACTTGCCCTGAAGGACACAGTGAAGCACCCAGAGCAGTTACAGGACAATCTCCTATGTGCCGCTCAGTCCCAGTGCAGTAAAACATATGCCTCCAGACCTGACCACTTCCTTTTCCGAAACGTGCTCCTTTTGGGGTAGAAAGGGCGACTCCACATTTAAGCTGCTGGCAAAGAACGTGGGCATCTTCTATGTCCCAGTGAGAGCTGCAGAGGGATCCCCAGGCCCCAAGGGTTTTGAGCTCCACTCTGCCCTCACATGGGGTCTCGCCGTTCACCAAGCGAATTTCCGTGTATCCTGCAAGGAGACACGGCTTTAGAAAAAGTCAGCTAGGACTCCCTAACCCTATCCCTTTTACAGTATGGGAACTGATTCAAGGTGTTATCTGGGTCTTACTTGAGCAGACTACTCCAACATCCCTGCTGTGGCTACAAGTTCCGTCTGGGCGGGATGCTATGGGGCAGAGTGAAAGATGGGACTCATGTCCCTCACACTGGAATTCTTCAGCCCAGATCTGTCCATTTCCCTCCCCAAAGTGAGCTCCCCCCAGGATAGAGACAACAGTGCCACACTGTAATTCCCTGCATAGCACACTGGCAGCTTCCAGAGAGAAATCAGAATCACAGACGGAGCCCCACGAGTCGCCATGCTTCACTTCAACACGTCCAGAACAGGGGATGTCCCCTCCAACCAGTCTGGGTTCCCTGTGGGCTGAAAAATAAATATCATTTCAGTGACAGACAACATGACTCCCAGATTTCCGTTCACGATGAGGGTGAGGAAGGTGGTGAGGAGTGGGAAAGGGAGACCAGAGCGTGTTCAGTGATTTCCTACACCGGTTTGTCTTGGCCTTTCTGCCTGGAGTTGGGTATGGATAATTCTAGACCTCCCTATGCCTAGCTGAACTCGTCCATCTGAGAGGATTCTGAGAATTTACCTTGTGCAGTCAACCATCCTCAGAGCCAATGATAACTCTGTTCTTCAAACATGTTGCTTAATTTATTCATAATAACATTAGAGACCACAAACAATATATATATTCTATCTCTATCTCAGTCTTGTACTCAATCCTCCATGTGCTACAGTCTGGGCTTTGCTCAATCTTTTTGAATTGTACTATGTAAAGTTTTTCAATATACTGCTAATTTTCCAAATGAACATCAGACTTCTTCCTTTTGACGCCTGTTACACTTGGTACACGTGACCCTTCTTTCTTCCATTTTCTCCTCTTCCCTTTCTGACAGTGCTTTATCAAAACATGTCATGTATTCCTTGAGTCAAGGTTCTGTCCATAACCTTCTCATCTGCTCAATGGACATGTCTCAACTGCCAATAAATATATTTTCATCCATACTTTTTTCTTTCACTTTAGATTCACAAACACATTTGCTTAGACATGTGGAGCTTAAAGTATTCAAAGTTGAATGAATTATTGTATGACAAGTCCACTATATTATTTACTTAATTAGTGATATCTAGACCAAATTAGAATCACCTAAATTGAACCACTTTATCTCACCACAAATAACGGTAATAATGATGGTAGTGAACATTAAGTGAGCATCTACTATATTATACATATGGCATTCCAATGAGCATTTAACAAACACTATTTCATTTAATCCTTAAAATTGTCTTAGGAGATAATTGTTAATATAATTCTGATTTTATAGACAAGGAATCTGAAACATAGAGAGGTGGGATGTAGTGATTTGCTAAGGCCACACAGCAAATTACTACAGAATCAGTAAGGGGACAGAATTTGAAGTCAGACTGTATTCCAGAGCCTACAGTGTTGACCCTCACAATGCATTACACACACAGAAAACCACCATATCTTTCGGTCCTCCAGTGTATTTCTTCTTCCCCATATTTATTGCTATTTATTGCCATAAAGAGATTTGTCATGATCTGTCAGGCAGACCTCTACAATAGCTTCCTAAATTGTTTCCTTTCTCCAAGAAATTTATGCCATGATTATTAATATGTATTAATAAATTTCAAATATTTTCATGTGATGTTTTATCTTTCGATGACTTAATGTTTCCTTACAATTTATGCAATAATCTTTTACATGATTTCATATAATTATGTATACATTAATTAATCCAAAAGTATCAATGTAATGACTTATAATGTAAGTTATCTGACTCCTTTAGATATTTGAGGATGGGTGGGTTACAAAGGCTGCCACGGGCCAGGCACGGTGGCTCAAGCCTGTGATCCCAGCACTTTGGGAGGCTGAGGTGGGTGGATCACGAGGTCAAGAGATCGAGACCATCCTGGCCAACATGGTGAAACCACGTTTCTACTAAAAACAAAAAAAAAAAATTAGCTGGGCCTGGTGGCGTGTGCCTGTAGTCCCAGTTACTCGGGAGGCTGAGGCAGGAGAATTGCCTGAACCCAGGAGGCAGAGGTTGCAGTGAGCCGAGATTGTGCCACTGCACTCCAGCCTGGCACCTGGAGACAAAGTGAGACTCTGTCTCAAAAAAAAAAAAACAAAAGGCTGGCAGAACTCAGTATGTCAGTGAAGATAGAAAATAATACTAAAAACAATAATTATAATCATATTAGCTCACATGTTTTTATAGCTCACTGTGTAATTCCTGTGAGGTGGGCCCTATTACTATTCCCATTTTTCTTCTGAGCAAACTGCAGCATAAAGAGCTTTCATAGATTCCCTAATTTCATCCAGCAACTACAAGGTAAAATAAGGAGAAATGACAAACACTAATTCCTTAGTACACTTGCTGACCTTATCTGGGGGGCTGTCCTACCACCTAGCCCCAGCCAGCGTTCAGTCTTGGTGGAGCTGAGGGCAGCAGGATGGGGGAGGGAAGGGAGCCAAAGGAGGGACAGCTTGTCTTTTTTTTTTTTTCCTTCTTTAATAAATGTCACTCTTTGAGGCAAAAGAAGGAACCATGAAGGCCGGGCGTGGAGGCTCACGCCTGGAATCCAAGCATTCTGGAGGCCAAGGCGGGCGGATCACCTGAGGTGGGGAGTTCAAGACCAGCCTGACCAACATGGTGAAACCCTGTCTTTAAAAAAAAAAAAAAGAAGGAATCATGAAAAAAAAAAAAACAAAAAAAACAGCATCTATTACTTTATCAACCTAATCTGATGCTCCGGCCTAAATATGCTTGTACATGCTATAATTTTCATGCATCTGCGGCTCTGTAGAAACTTTTCTCTCTACTTAAAATGTGTTTCCCTAGCTTATGTACCTGGGAAAAGCTTACTTCTTTTCTGTTCAACTTCTTTCGAATAGCCTTCTCTTCCACGAACACAGTTTACTGCAGTTATACATATTTTAATAGTGATGAATCAAAAAATAGATATATGTATTAGATATAAAACTAACAAATAAAGGAGTCATCCACTCTGATTTAGGCTATGTAGGAGAGAGTACCATAAATCTAAATTGGGTTTTGGAAAAAGTTGAGTTTGCCAAATACACAGTGGGTGAAACAGCCTTTAAGGAATGTGGTCATGGAAGAGCATGGTGTCACCGAAGAATTATAAGTAACTTACTGTAGCTGAAATTTAAAATATAAAGAAAAGACACACCAGAAATAATAAATGGAATTTATATTATGAAGGTGCTCTTTGTCAAGTTAAGAAACACAACCATCAAGATAAGTGAGTTTCTTTGAAAATACTCAGAGGCAATATAAATTACTTAAGAGATACAAACTATTTCTTTTAACCCATGTTTTAAAGAAATAAAGAAAATGCAGTTGAAAACTAGACCTTCTCAAGGTCTTAAGTTGTTTACAGATACCTGCTATCGAATATGAACAATTTTTGTAAACTCTTGATGTTACTGTCACCACGATATAGACACACCATCAGCCCTTGCCATTCTGCGTACTCTGATGTCCCTTCTTCTCTCATAAACCTATCACCTTATACTAAAATGTCCTAGAAGATGTTTTGGATGTGACATATTCTGTACTACGGCAATATATAATACCTTAACATGTCGAAATTTCACCAATTATCCATTAAATCTGCAAAAACATATCCCTATCCAAATTCAAGATGAAAAAACATGTCGCTTTCTGAACATAGCTCAGAGTTGAAAGCAAATAACACCCCTACAACACAATTAATGACCCTTGAGTTGGATGGTTCTTCATTTCTTCTTTTTGAATCTTTATTCAAGCATGAAATTTCTCTTAAGATATCATTAACTAGTATTCTTATGATCCCAATCCCTTCTGGATGCCCTAAATCTTTAAGTAAAGGCAGTTGCCTAGATCGAGCCAAATTCTGATTTCTTGTAAAATCTCACTCTTTCGTTTGGGTCCATCTTGAACAAAATATAGTAAAAGAAAACCCGTGAAAAACAAACAAATAAACAAAAAACAAATACTTTCTTTTCCATTGTGAAAACTCATTAAGCATTTAAAAACAAGTCCCTTCTATAAATATTCTTGTTTTCTTTGTCCTAATATATTTGAGTCAGGGCAGAGGAGAAAGTCTCCCACTCAGAAAGTGACTTGGAGATTGCATCCTCAGCCTTTATTTTGTGAATCTGCTAGTAACATATTAATCTATCCTACAGGTTGCTTTCGTTATATCATTACTCTTTAGACATGGTTAGAATATTGGAAATTTATCTCTTTAATGGATCTTTTTTCCTGTTAATCTATGACTGTGTTTTTATATAAAAGCCATTAAGTAAATGTTTGCACCTGGATTTAGAGACATTGATCAACAACTTCAGTTTTCTTCTGGCATAAGCAAACAAACCTGTTTTTCTTTCTTTCTCTAGAAAAATGAATAGCTAATAAGACATAATTAACTAGAATTATTTCCTTTTGTTTACTGATAAATAAAATACACAATATGATTTAAAGAAGCATTAATGGATTTTCAACATTTAATGCTTTTCAGACTCTAAGGAAGTATAGATCATCATAATGTCAGAATTATTTCTCAATCCTAAGTTAAAATACAGCACAGCTCAAATGAACTGTTGCTTAAGGTCAGATGTCCTCTACAGTACCTAGACAGATATCGCAAAATGTTTGAGATTCAAAGTAATTTTGTGACCAAAATTTCCTAGACCTTTCTCTGTCAACAATGCATCTTAAATTGTTTCCAGTTGTCCTGCTTAGTTGAATTCTTCTGGTTCCCTGTACCATATAAAAGTTAAAAGAATTTAAACAGATTATCAAATTCGTAGCTTGAATTTGGCAGGCACAGAGACAGCACGTCCATCATTGAAAGAGACCGCATGTCGTCACTGAAAGTGTCAAGTAAATAAAAAAACAAAATTACAAACTCTATTACTAACAAAATATGTAAAATGCTAAAAACCAATGCCCTCAGCATAAGTCGAAGAACTTCCAAAACCTACAGAAATATAGCAAAAGAGTTTGCAAAAGTAAGTCAAAAGTGCACATGGCAAATAGCAAATAAAAATACAGCTCTGTGGAGCAAGGAGCCCATCTTAAGTGGCAAATTTATGTTATTTATGATTTCCCTTATATGCAGCTGAATAGAATCAAATAATTCAGAATCTGTTGCCATAACTAAGGGATTCTAGTAATGCAACCTAAAATATGGGTGCAGTTGAATGGAGTTGATTGGCAGAATGGACTAATGACTCAGATACGAGAGGCTAAAAAGCTAATAAGTCTTATTACACGTGGTAAAATTTTTGGGCAAACCTCACTTTGAAAAGAAAACCATGTGCTCACTGAAGCTTAAAAAATGCAGTTTGGCCAGGGCAGTGGCTCATGCCTATAATCCCAGCACTTTGAGACGCCAAGGCAGGCAGATCACCTGAGGTCAGGAGTCCGAGACCAGCCTGGCCAACATGGTAAAACCCCATCTCTGCTAAAAATACAAAAATTAGCCAGGTGTGGAGGCAGGTGCCTGTAATCACAGCTACTCTGGAGGACGAGGCAAGAGAATTGCTTGAACGTGGGAGGCAGAGGTTGCAGTGAGCTGAGATCGTGCCACCGCACTCCTGCCTGGGTGACTGAGCAAGACTGTTGTAAGAAAAAAACAAAATGCAGAATTTATTGGGCAAAGTACAAGAAAAAAACTACAAAAAAAATCAGAATGTTTGCATGACATGGATCCTCCTTGCCAATTTCAGCATTTAGAAGAGAGATGAGGAATTCAGACTATAAGTAGTCAGAATGCAAGCAGAAATGGGAGGAAAAATATCAATTTTATAAGGAGGTATGGTCTGCCTGCAGGTGTTGCATATAGTTAATCAAGAGTCCTATAATTTGGAATTGAAGAATTGAAGAAAAAACTCTTAAGTATCCTGTCCCCCAAATTGAGGTGGTGGTAAAACTGTAGCCTTATCAGAAGATAAAACTGATGCTCCAGATAGAAAGACAATGAGTCTACCAGCAAAGTCAGAATTTAGGTCTTGTCCTTCCTCCCAAATCCACAGTTTCAAATGTCCTTAAGGCAGTGGTCAATAACTAAAGAGAATGGCTAGTCACAGCATAGATCAAAGTATATTCATATGCTCTTGGACTACAGCTACTTTCAGATGGCATTGGGTTATAATGCAAGTTGACTAGAAGCTTAGTAACTTTGGGAAGAACTTTTCGGTTGAATTTGAGGGTAGCTGACATCAGCCCTTGATTAGTCAATCTTTAGAGTAATCCAAAGGTCCATAAAATAATATTAGCAGAAAGTGGGCTGTGAAAGTTGTGTTGTCGTTAGATAGAAATACTCTTCAAATCAAACTAGGATGTAACGATGAAGAATAATGCACCAGGAAGAACTGCCCTGAGAGCAACACTGGGCAATGAAGGACAGTGCACGGAAGACACCTTCTCAGATGGCAGCACCTTGTCTACTAGATTGGCTTTCCAAGGAAGTCACTGAGCTGCAGGGTGGCTCATTCTTCCCGTCCAGTAGGATCTGGTAATTATTGCAGCAAATCTATTCTGGATGTTTCTTGATGACCACAGAGCCACCAAAACAGCCTTAAACTGCTTACCTATTTGACTAATTTTAAATGAGAAAAAGTAAACACTGTCTTTCTTCAGCCAGTATTATTTGTTTCTCTTTAGATACAGCAGAACTTAATGCTGATCGATGTGAAATACAATTAATAAGAAAATATACAAACCTTTGTAAATTAGAAGGAAAACCTATAACCTAAAATATTTATATTAGTAAATCAGAAGAAATAAAACTTAAGATTCAACTCAAGAAGTTAGGAGCCAAAAAGAAATGAAACTTTAAGAAATCTGAAGAGAATTATCAGAAAGAAAAGTAAATTTTAATGAATTCGAAAGCAAATAAAGGTAACATTAAGTTTTTAAAATTCAAATAATGATTTTTTTAAAAAAAATTAGCCAAAAGAATGCAAATTTTGTCAGGTGAAGGAAATTTAAAGAGTAAATGAATACACATGGCAATAAGTGATGAGGAGAAATGTTATTGATACAGAAGTAATTTCAGAAAGCTCTTCAAATACTACTGTGAAATTATGATCAAGAAATTTACTAAATAAATATTTAAGGTACAAGACAATTTCTAAAACGTGACACCATTTGTATAATAAACGTGAATGATAGCTATACATAGATTTGCTTGTATTTTCTTGTATTTACATGAAATATCTCAAATAATAAATATTCCAAACACACAAATTGTCTGTGAGGAAAAGAATTGGATTGTAGCAGGGGAAGAGTATATACTTTTTTATTTTGAAGTTTAAACCATATGATTATATTGCCTAGTCAAGGATGTTTTTTAAAAAGCAATATGGCAATTTAAACATATGTCTTAAATGATTGCCTTTTTTTCAATTGGAGAATAATTTCCACTTAACTAAAGGTAAACACAGTTTGTAACGTCAGGGAAATGCCCCTTGCTGCATGCATAGGTTGAGAGATATCTGGAGCCATACTGTTGGTTAGAGGAAGTACAGCGCATGCCAGTTTTCATGCTACGAGGTCTCTACGTGTTTAATGGTTTTCTCATACACCGGGTCTTCTAAAGCCTTTTTGCTGCATGAGTAAAAGCTACGTTTACTTTAGAGTTATTTTAAAAAGCATCAATTTTTAACAAAGTTAGCATTTGTATAAATATGATTAGCATAAAATACTAAAGATTATCCGCAAACCTAACCAGGTCACAAATCATTTTTGAGCTTTTTAAAGAGGTTGCAGTGAAATAGCCACAGGTTTTCAAAAAGAAGAAAATTCTTTCACAGTACAATAGAGGGAGCTAAAGGTTATGTCAGTTTATCCAACAGCTATTTTTTAAATCTTTTGGTGACATCCTGTGAGAAAAGTACTGAATTCTATTTTTTTAATTTTAATCCTCCTTAATCTCTTATATCTCTATTGATTTAAAAATTACTCAAAAGCCAAAGTGAGCAAAACCCAAACACTTCTATCCAAAGTGCAACATGGATTGTAAACTTATCTGACTCTCGCAGTGGAATTTGTGTAGCTATTTTCTGCTTTCTTGAGAGTGATCTAGTCATAAAGACCAATGTTTCTTTTGAATTTCAAAGGTATTACTGGAAATGTACACCCTTCTTCTTAACAAGTTGATTGAAAGTCATACCTGAGCAGGTAACTTCGGCTTCTTCATAGTGATCACAGTTAAGTCCACCCCACTGCCAGTTCTTGCGGTCCCAAATCGAAGTTTCATTTCCATTATAGCTACTTAGGAACAGCCATGTGCTTGTTGCCTGGATTTTGGAGTACGCTTGATAGGATGTTTTGAGGGCAGATCCACATCCCAGCTGCCTGCAAATCACATTAGCTTCTTTCAGTCCCCAGCCTCTGTCACACACCTTCCCTAATAGTCTCTGAATCTCCACCTCAACTGTCCCAGCACAGCGGCTGCCTCCACCTCTAAGTCTTAGCTCCAGATCTGATCCATCTGCAAAAGAAACATGAACTTAAATCATTGATACATATGGAGGTTAGCTTTCAATTTTTTTTTTTTTTTTTGGTCTTTCGTTTTCTCTGATACTGATACACTGGAAATTATGGCTTACTGATTTTCTGACTTCTTAAGAAGCAATAATATAGACCATAAATTTTTGTTAGAAATGGGACTATAGTTTCAAGAGTTGATTAAAATTGTCAATGGAAGAAAAATATGAGCAATTTAGCTTTAAAAGAGATTCCTCAAAAAGTGAGCACAGGATATGAACAGATACTTCTAAGAAGACATTTATTTATGTGGCCAAGAAACATATGAAAAAAAGCTCATCATCACTTGTCATTAGAGAAATGCAAATCAAAACCACAATGAGATACCATCTCATGCCAGTTAGAATGGTGATCATTAAAAAGTCTGGAAACAACAGATGTTGGCAAGGATGTGGAGAAATAGGAACACTTTTACACTATTGGTGGAAGTGTAAATTAGTTCAACTATTGTGGAGTGGAAGACAGTGTGGTGATTCCTCAAGGATCTAGAACCAGAAATATCATTTGACCCAGCAATGCCATTGCTGGCTATATACTCAAAGGATTATAAATCATTCTCCTATAAATACACATGCACAGGTATGTTTACTGAAGCAATATTTACAATAGCAAAGACTTGGAACCAACCCAAATGCCCATCAATAATAAACTGGATAAAGAAAATGTGGCACATATACAACATGGAATACTATGCAGCCACAAAAAAGGATGAATTCACGTCTTTTGCAGGGACATGGATGAAGCTGGAAATCATCATCCTCGCAAACTAACACAAGAACAGAAAACCAAATACCACATGTTCTCACTCATAAGTGGGAGTTGAACCATGAGAACACATGGACACAGGGAGGGGAACATCACATACCAGGGTCTGTCAGGGGGTGGGGGAAAGGGGAGGGAGAGCATTAGGACAAATACCCAATGCATGTGAGGCTTAAAACCTAGATGACAGGTTGATAGGTGCAGGAGATCTCCATGGCACATGTATACCTATGCAACAAACCTGCACATTAGGCAAATGTGTCCCAGAACCTAAAGTAAAAAAAATAAGTAAATAAAAAAATTTTTAAAAAGAGAGTCCTATGAAATTTTGTCTCTCTGAGCTCCAGGTAGATTCTGAGTTTGAAGCATGCTCCATAACAGCAGTCTGAATAATTATTGCAGAGAATAACATCACACAACCCTCCAAACTAGTTGAATAAAGAACATGGCAAAGATTACAAGTACAAAAAAAATTCCAGCAAGGAATTTCCTAGTCGTTTCTACTCCTTACATCTATTCTTACTCCTAAGGAGTATAGGGCTTTCTCTTTCTGCTTTTCTTTTTGTTTAGCTTTTTGGTTTGGGTTTGGTTTTAACTTACCAGAACATGTCACACCAGCATCTTCAATGTGATTGCAATAATGCTTTCCCCATTCATGGTGTTTACATTCCCAGATAGCAGATTCATGTCCCTGGCAAGAAACACTGTCAAGCCAGATGTGTCCCGATCCCTCACTGGCATTAACTCGGCCAACAGCAGTGATGGCAGTTGGACATCCCAGTTGCTTGCATGCCACAGCAGCATCGTTACTATCCCAGCCATCGTCACATATTGTCCCCCATTCTCCTTGGAACCTCACTTCTAATCTTCCAGAACATTGATTGACTCCACCTATCAGTCTCAAGCTCAGATCTGCTCCATCTGTAACAGAGACACAAAACAGGTCTGAGATAAGGAAGCAAGAACAAGAGACTGTAAATAACTGTACCTGAGACGAGTTAAAGAAAAAGGGAGGCCGGGCGCGGTGGTTCAAGCCTGTAATCCCAGCACTTTGGGAGGCCGAGGCGGATGGATCACAAGGTCAAGAGATCGAGACCATCCTGGTCAACATGGTGAAACCCCGTCTCTGCTAAAAATACAAAAAAAAATTAGCTGGGCATGGTGGTGCGTGCCTGTAATCCCAGCAACTCAGGAGGCTGAGGCAGGAGAATTGCCTGAACCCAGGAGGCGGAGGTTGCGGTGAGCCGAGATCGCGCCATTGCACTCCAGCCTGGGCAACAAGAGCGAAACTCCGTCTCAAAAAAAAAGAAAAAGAAAAAGGGAGAGATCTAAGTAGAGACAAGGAAAACAGTGGCGTTTACCACCTGAAATCATTCAAGATGGGAGAAGGAGTGGAGCAGGCGGGAAGATGGGACTTTCCAGTATAGACAGCACATACTACAGGAAGTGTTCCTAACAGGAGATCCAAGGGCTGAATCTCATGTAGAGACCTGCTTATTTGACCACCACAGAGTTCTTCTTAGAACTGTTTACTTTTCCTGGTTAAAATATATTTGCATGTGTTCAGATGGCACCCACATCCTTCAGTTTGCCTCCATACTTAGCATTCCCTTGGACTGTACTCTCCATTGGTACTACCTAGTGTATTGTATACCTGAACCTTTTGTGACCACTTCCTTAGTTTAAAAGCAGAGCAAAGAGAAAGAAGACTTCATTACTAAAATTATCACCTTCCCCAAATCAATATTCTTCAAAGAACAGATATTAATTCTGAAGAATATTCTGTAATAAAATTCCTCTGGCAGCTTCAGTTTTCATTCCCACAATACTATTTATTGTGATTCCTCAGCATGTGCTGACTGGGAGCCTGGAGAAATTTTGATGGGTAAAAAAGAATGGAAGGTACAGTCTGTGTTTTTTCTACTCCAATTCTTCACATTCTTCAGCTACTAAAATCTATCTTTCTTTAGGAGTTCCATTCATTATGGTTCAGGCTATAGCTGATTACATCATTCAACAAGAAAAAGCCTGTTCAAGACATGGAGAAAGAGATAGAATCCAGATGACGTTCAAAACCTGAATCCAACCATGCATGAAGCTAACTATACGCTCTGGATTTCCCAGTTTTGGAAGCCAGTATTCCCTTCTTTTTAAATGAACTTCAATGGACGTTCCTTTATTTGCACAGAGAGAGAGAGAGAGACCTGGTGAAGACAGAGATTTTCTACTCTTATTTTCCTAAGTGTTCTCTGGGGTTCAGGACACGCTCAATCTCCTTTCATACTAAGAATTCAATTGAAAAACGAAGAGTGGTATCCCTGCACACGAAAACCCACTGTCCCTGCCCCCAGCCTGAGTATACAACGTGAAAGTCTCTAGACAGACACAACGCATGTCTAGTATGAGTAAAGTTTTAGCGGGAAACCAATATCAATTTTTAAAAAGTGATTTGATTCTGTGAACTTGAAAAGTGATTTGGGAAGAAGTGGGTTAATGCAGCGAAAAAGGAGGCTTTCGTGGGTTAGGTGATAACTGGAGTGGTTTTCTCTTAAAACTCCTTCATAGAGCAAAATTTCCTGGTAAAGCCCTTCCGTCCTTCCTTTTTCCTCTCTTTTTGGTCTCTCACTTTATTTATGGGCTTTTCCTAAACACGTTCTTCTTTTCTTATGACCTGGATCTCAGTTTCACTATACACCCTTCTTCCCTAACCTATTTCTCCTGATTTCAGTCAAGGTAAAAAGTCCACAGGTATCAGAACTGGAACTCGAAGTTAAGAGTTCAGGCTCTTAAGATTTATTCCCCCTTACTTTTGTCCTCTCCAGGAGAACAGAATGAGCCAAGATCAGTCCTTACTTGAACAAATCACTCCAGCATCCTCAGCATGATCACAGTTATGCTTTCCCCATCCTTGATGTTTGCAGTTCCAGAGAGCTGACTCATTTCCATTGCATACAAGATCATCAAACCAGATTGGTCCAGAGCCTTCTCCAAAATGAGCTGAACCAGAGAAACTGATAGCAGTTCCACATCCAAGTTGTTTACAAACCACAGACGCGTGATCCATGTTGAAGTTATCATCACACACTGTTCCCCACTGTCCTTGAAATTTGATCTCTATTCTTCCAGAACACATATTGCCTCCATTCGTCAGCCTCATCTCCAAATCGGATCCATCTGGAGCAGAGAAAAGACCAGAGTTCAGAAATTATGTTCATTTGGAAGTTATTTTAGAAATTAAGTTTCCTCTGGAAACTTGGGATTTGATGTTGTCCTTAAAATGGTGCCTGATTATAGATGTTGCCCAGCTCCACACAGTGGAGAATTTTAAGATGATACAATCTAGGAAGCAATTAGGATTTTTTTTTTTTTTTTTTTTTTTTTTTGAGACGGAGTTTCACTCATGTTACCCAGGCTGGAGTGCAATGGCACCGTCTTGGCTCACCGCAACCTCCGCCTCCTGGGTTCAGGCAATTCTCCTGCCTCAGCCTCCTGAGTAGCTGGGATTACAGGCACGCACCACCATGCCCAGCTAATTTTTTTTTTGTATTTTTAGTAGAGACGGGGTTTCACTATGTTGACCAGGATGGTCTCGATCTCTTGACCTCGTGATCCACCCGCCTCGGCCTCCCAAAGTGCTGGGATTACAGGCGTGAGCCACCGCGCCCGGCCGCAATTAGGATTTTTATCTATAACTACTTACAAAGGAAAATGTTTTACAAGTTAAAGTTTTTAAACTTTCTCTTTTGTTTTGTTTCCTTCCATTACTAAGACAGATGTAAATACTCTTTTTAAGTAGAAATAGATAAATTTGACTCAAGTTATTTATTTAAAAAAAGAAAATTGGCCCATACAACAAGGAAGTAAAAATGACAAACTGGTCATCAGTTGATCATTTATTTTAGCTTTTCTTTATTATAAATAGTTCAAAACACGATGATTGACTAAAGTTGAATTTGAAATCAGGAAGGAAGAAAAAGCAAAGACAAAAATGCATAAACACGCATAACAGTTTGCAAAAATACCTTGTGGTATATCAAATTCTTAACAGTTGAGGGGAAAATAGACCAAAATATTCATTTTTTACCAAGTTCCCGTTTGAACCAAAGCCTTTTTTTCCTCCCCAAAGCATCTGGTACCATTTTTTTAATCAACAAGTAGCTTTATCATGAAGAAATTTCTCACTATACACAATCCCTTAGATCCTCTATGAGGCCTAAAATACCCGAGAAAAGAAAATTTTGGATAAAATTTTGAGACACCCGAAAAAAAAAAAAAAAACCTCTTTGTGGTTGAAGAAAATGTTTAGAAGCGCTTCTCGAAAAAAGGAGTTTAATTTTAAGAGCTCTAAACTCCACGCAAAGGCCACTACTTCACAAGAATTTTTATTATGAGCAAATAATAACAATGAATTTGAATAAGAATTCACAGTCAATATATGGATATGCTGTTCTTACTGCATCACACATGCTATCGCATTTAATCGCCACAACAATTTTAGGCATTATATGCTGCTATCACTATCCCCACTTCAAGGACAAGTAAACTGAGGTGGAATAATTGGCACAGTGTCAAATACCTAGAAAATAACAGAGACAGGATATAGGACAAAAAGCAGTCTAGCTAGCACCAGAGTCTCTTGATTCTTAGGCTGTATCTCCTCAGTGCATGTAATAATAACATAATCTCCCAAGAGGTAGAGGCTCTGAGGATTGAGCATTAATTAGGGAGGAGAATCTCAGAAATGAAGACTCTGTAACCACATGAAATTAGTGGGTCTTTGAATGGCTGTTGGTTCTTTTCTACTATTATGCTCCAGTTAAAGCTTTAGGTGTGTAAATTCAAAAGCAAATTGATTAACTCCACTGGTAGTTATAAAACAACAGAAAACAAGAGCTAAAAGTACTACACTGATGTTTTAGCTAAACAACCAGTTCTCTAGACCGTAATAATTATGGTAAGAGCCTGGTAAAATTTATGATAATTTTAAACTTTGTTGTAAATGTTACTTTTTTTATTCCCCATTTCACACCTCCCATAGTAATTAAAAATAAAAGGAAAGGAGGAGGAGAAGGAAGAGGAAGAGAAGAAAGAGAACTGAGTCACCAAGAGAACTGAGCCACGAGGATCTTCAGCACTTGTTACATACCAAACAGTGTACCAGTGGTTTTACATGTATTATATCATTAAGTCCTCAGAAACTGTTAGATTTGACAGCTTACACAAAATCATATGATACATGCTTTAGCTATGTGAGAATTTATTTCGGCATTTTTCTAGATGCTACTGTGGGTTTCTCTTATCACATTATGATGTCTGGATAGAGATAAGTCCTTTCTAGACAGTCTTATGGAAGAGATAGTCTCTACAAGAGAGGCTGGGAGGTGCGAGGGTTGCATAAAAATTAATGAAACAAACAAGGAGAAATGGGGAGCCCAAGAATTTGAATTGGGTCAGAAACGTGCCCTTGGGATTTGTCAGCAGAAAGGTCTGACACATGGCTTTCTCAGTTATTGTGGGGTCAATTGCAATAAACCATGTGAAAATGTTTTGTAAATTAAAACAACAATGTAGATGAAATGAATAGCATTGTACACTGGATCAAGCAATTATACTTTCAAAGAATCCTTCCTACAACAAGAAATGATGCATTAATGCTAGAAATAGTTGTTTTTTGATTCACTAAATTGATTCTTAGTTAATGTACAAAAGGGTAATAATTTGTGGGTCAACACATCAAAACAAGTCACTTGGAAGGAAAACAAGGAAATAACTTAGATGTCATGATATTTTTATGATTCAGGAGTAGGAGGTTACAGTAAGCTTACTAAATATAAAATTTAAGCCACCACTTCTTGGTCCTTTGTCTAAGATTGTCGATAAAATTGAAGCCAGTCACTTCCTCATTAATCACAGTGCTCAGAATTCTTTTTAATTAAAAAAAAAATGAGCTTGTGTTTTATGGTTTTCTAGCAACGGATTGAGTAATTTTATACATGAACTAGATTGTTTACAGGAAAGTGGCCTTTTCTAGGTTTTAACCCATCTACATATTTCTTTCCCACCAAGGATTCTGTGTGGAGGCTTTGACTAATGCAAGTCTTACCTGAGCAGGTCACTCCAGCGTCTTGTTGGTGAGTACAGTTACTATGCTTTCCCCATCCGTCATGTTTGCAATCCCAAAGAGCTGACTCATTCCCACGACAAGAAACGTGATCCATCCAAATGCGCCCAGAACCTGCACTGGAATTAGCCCATCTGGCGGCTTTGACGGTAGTTGGACATCCCAGCTGCTTACAAATCACAGAGACTGCTTCCGTGCTCCAGCCATTATTACACACCGTTCCCCACTCCTCTTGGACTTTCACTTCCACTCTCCCGCTGCACTTGTTTTCACCATCAGTTAGCCTCAGCTCCTTGTCTGGTCCTCCTGCAACAATGGATTAAGACAGTAATTGGCCAAGGTTGCAAAATTACATGATTTATTTAATCCTTCAAAGTCAGATTTGAAAACCATTCCCATCCTAGTCCTATCCATGGTAAAATAGAAAAATGATATTTCACAGGCATTCAAATATAAATGTTAGTAGCACTGGCTTCAAATTAAGCAGCTCCATATAACAGTAAAGGTAAGTAACACAATTGTGTTTAATACATTTATTTTATGGCTGGATGGTCTTAATAACGGCAATTTATATAATTTCCATGAAACATTTTTGAGTTAAATAAGCTGCTACAAAGTGTTACAGGGATGAGCTTTACAGGTTTCTCCAGAATCCTAAGATCAATAGAAAGAAGGCTGATAGAGAATTCATGAAGATGAAAAGACTAGGTGTAAGAAATTTAACCCTTATTTCATACATATATGAAAAATAGCGTAAATCTTAAAAACACTAGTTGAAATCTGACTGAAATTTATCTACTTAAATAAAAATTAAGATGGAGATATTTTCCTGTTATTTTCTGCCATAAAATAAACCTCTGTGTACTTTGCTCCCACCCACAGATGGTAGATGACCTCAGTTGCCTCCTTGGCATATTTTAGCTTTATTTAGGAACCTGGTGGTCCCACCAACCTGGCATCTCTCAAAACATTTTTAGATAAATTTTGGCATTTGAATTTACTAATGTGTTCCCCAAACTCACTTTTATTCTAATAATTCTGAAGTTTCTCCTCCTTTGTATTCTTTCCTATTTTTCAGCTCAACATTATTTCCAATCTTTAAGTAAAATTTATTTTTCTTCTATGAGTTTATTTTCTTTGGGAAGGCATCATGCTAATATTTTGGTGTTGCATGGTTATATTTTTAGTGTGTGCTTTTATAATATCTAATCCTTGGAATGCATGGAACATGCCACCTAGTTTTTAGATGCTACTCGGCCTTCAGAAAAATTGCTTTTTAACCATTCATTGTCAGAATGGGCTAAGGCTGTAAGTAAATTTGACAAAGTACTCACCCCAAGAGCTGGTGAACAAACAGGCACTGAGAAGTAAAACCACGGCAGTAGTGAAGGGACTCAAGTTGACAAAATGTCTTCTGAAGTCTGTGAAAAAGGAAAGAAGGCAAAAGTAGCATCTTCCCAAAAAGAGACTTTGGAGAAGATAGATGGGTTTCAGAGGTTAATTAACAAAGAAGCTCAAACCAAGACAGAAAACCCTTCCTTCTAAACTGCAAGGCAAGCAGGAAACATTCATACCCAGGATCATATAGTTTCTGCAAATAGCTTTGAAAACTTTCATGTTTATAGGCAACCTTGAGGTAAGGGAGGAGAAGAAGGTTGGTGGTGGAAATAAGAATCGCAAAGGCAGCCCTTAAAACCTGGAAAATGGAAACTATCAGTGAAACTTAGTAGTGGACAATTCTCCCAGCCGGCACAGGGAAGCTATCCTGAGACTTGTATATTCCCTAACCCCCTCTATATTCAATGACAGATGCCCCCATCTTCAAGTCTACCTGAGCCGCACTGACAGAGGATAAATTCCATGAGCAAATGCATTCTATCTATCATGTTCACCATAATGTCATCAGTACCTGGCTTGATGCTTGCCAAATAGTAGCTAGCTGAACAATACCTTGATGGAATAAAATGGTGATGTTCATATCTGAAAAACCCAAATATTAAATCCTGTCATCTCTACCTATATCATTATCACCTAATACGCTCTTTAATGCTGTTATTCCTCCCATATCTTCTTGTTACTTTAACCCAACACTAATTTGAAACTAAAAATGCTAAATGATTTTAACATGTCCATATACATCTTAAAGCAGATAACTCGCTTATCAGAGTAGATAATCTTCTTTATGTAATTAACTCTCTATCAATATTCATTTCTGCAAATTCCAGATTTTCTGACAACTATTGTTTTCATGCTAATTACATTTCAGTTAACTTTAGTTCGTGACTTAATTTTACCTCAGCAGTTTTATAAAATTAATGCCAACTCTGATTCCTATATCTCATCTTCAGTTTTGAATCTCTGGCAGATCAAAGGTGCTGCCATATAAGCCTATGTCCTTTCTTCACTCCTTACTCTCCTGATGCCACTTTTAAATCACATCCATTAACTGTCATAATAATGATATACCCCATTAAAGAGGAAATGTAGAATAAATGAGAAGCATTTACCAGCAGATCCAGAGTCTTCAAGCAGCGTCATTCTGAGTTTGTTCATTCCAAAGTTTTATAACTTCAGTAATTCCCTAAATCTTCTCGTATTATTCCATAGAAATGTTCTTCTAAAAGAAAGGACTAAGAATTCTAAAAATCACTTCACTCTCATGAAAATGAAAAGCCCACATATAGAGGTGGAGTCAACCCAAAAAGGGAAGTCATTGAAAGAGCTGAGGTTCCATTTCATACTCATGTTCTCTTCACTATGTGACATGAAACAACCAAAGGAAATTGGGAAACACTTCACACAGATTTCAAAAAATTAGGGGAAATACTAATATGCTGCTGTTGCTGAACTAAATATTTTACATTTTTGAACTTCATTTTGGACAAACGTATAAGACACACAAAAAAGTAGTAATTGTTATGTAGAAAAATTATGTTAAAAAACTAAAGCAAAACAGGCAAAGCATAATTAAATAATGTTTTATTGTGTCTACTTTTAATATTATTTCCATAATCAAATGTGTCTAATGAGTAATTTTGTGTAAGTTGTTGAGACACAGCATTTGTCATTTCTTTCCTAATGGGATGAAATACACCAAGAGAATTAGCCAAGACTATTACTGATTTTACAAATGCTAAAACAAAAATCAACAAAACATGTTTTCAGCTCCATTTAACTCAGATTCAAGTAAGAGAAACACATATGATGACAATAGTAAACACAGAGTTAAAGTGCAGGGTTAAAAATACTGGACAAATTAGTCCTACCTACTGAGAGAACAGAATGAACGGTCAGAAAATTCTTTTCTCTAAGGAGAGGCTTAAATTGTATATTAAAAGATGAAAAGAATATTGCCAAAGGGGCAAATGATAAAGGAGTTTAAGGCACAAGAAACAGCACACACAAATGAATATTTGTGTATAAAACATGCAAGCTCAAAAGAACTACTAATAGTTCATTGTGGAATACATACTGTCAGGTGTGAGCGACGGGCCTGAAATGGGGAATTGAAGGTGCATCTCCAGCCTTCCACAGAGACAGTCACTAGAACCCAGGCAACAAAGGCACCCTGACTTTCTTCCATTTCTTGGGCCTGCCAAATCTTTCCCTGCCTCATGGTATGTCAGACATATTGTTCCTTCTGTGTCTACTGCCTCCCTACCAGTACCTTTCTCTAAGCTAACTCTTATTCACATATACTTTATTTCTCAGTAAACAGCACTTCACTAGGAGAAATAACTCGACCCCTGAATGACCCCAGAAAATATGCACTCATGATGGCCTGTACTTATAAGGATTGTCAATCATACTTTTTGTATTTATTGTTTATCTTCCTTGCTAGTCTTAAGATATCAGGATAGGAACTACCTTTTTTTCAAAAAGACATCACCTGCCCCTGTCAGATGGGAGGTACTCAATATTACCTGTTTTGTTGCTGTTGTTGATAATGTTGTTATTATTGCTGAGGTAGACAAGGGCTACATAAAGAGTTTTATATACCATTTTAAAGAATTATAATTTTACACTGTAGGCAAGTAATGGCATTAAATAGTTTGACACATGAGTATTAAAGTGCTTTGTCTTTTACAGATCTCATCTTGGTGGTGATGTTGAGGATGATTTGTGGCCAGGCTAACAATGGAAATCAGAGCAAGAGTAAATTCAGAGAAAGTAGAATATTATAGCAAAAATCTAATAGCATAAGAGCCCAATTGAAAAGTTACAGTAGAAGAATGGAAGAAATAGATTGGTGAAAAATTAAAAAGCTAGGTGAACAAGACATCGTTGCTTCTATTCAAAATGAAGAATTGGGAAGTGTGTTTCCCTTGCCACCTGAAACAACTAAAAACCAAACCAAACGTGTGTAGCAATGATTTTCAAGACACTGAAAATCAGGCAGCAAGAATAGTTGTTGCCTGGATCTCAAGGATAGTGATCATGAGAGATGAGAGGCTAAGCTGAGTTTACTGCCTTGAGATAGTTTCCAGGGTAACATGGAATAGGAAACCCAGAGAATGATCAGAGGATTCCCAGAGTTGAGGAGAAGAAGCTGAGAATCCTGAAGACTAGGGTGGCTAGAATTCACAGGAAATAGTCTCATAGAGGGGATAGTTGCAGGAAGAGAGAGAGAGAGAAGAGAGGGAGAGAGTAGGGAGGAGGGGAGGAGATAGAGCTGCATATCTGTAGAGTCCCCTTTGAGTATTTAGCCGAGTGTTGATAAGTGCATGCATTTGGGGAAATTACCTGAGCCTGGGGAAAGAATGATAAAGGATTAGAGTTACATAAAGGGCCAGGAAAAGTGACTGTTCACATAGAAAACTCACAATTCATGGGGTGTTGGGCAGAGTTCGCAGGTGTGTCTTGGCACAGAGGTGGGAAATTAGTCCTAGCCACTTGTTGACTGGATCCCACCTAACAAATTTTAAAGGCAAGACCCAAAGAATCAAATTGCTTCTAAGAACATAACAGCAACCTAGACTAAATCTTAAGAATACCTGAAGGAAGAAAAATGATTTAAAACTCAGCAAGGTTTAGTTTACAATGTCTGGAATTAAACAAAATATTACTCAGTGCTGTGGTCTGAATGTGTGTGTCTCCTCAAAATTCATATGTTGAGAGCCGAAGCTCCGGGTCTTGTCTTCACTTCTCTGTGTTCTCTGCTCCTAGACGCCTAGCTTGTGTGGCCCTGTGACTTGCAAGTATTGGAGATCCACAGCTAAGACGCCAGGATCCCCTGGAAGCCTAGAAATGGAACCGTTGACATTTAGGGATGTGTCCATAGAATTCTCTCTGGAGGAGTGGCAATGCCTGGACACTGCACAGCAGAATTTATATAGGAATGTGATGTTAGAGAACTACAGAAACCTGGCCTTCCTGGGCAGGCAAGCAACCTCATCAAGCAGCTCCCTGACACCACAGCCAGGTAAATCCACAAAGATGGGAAAAAAACAGCACAAAAAAGATGAAACCATCAAAGACCAGAATACTCTCCTCCTTCAAGGCATCACAACTCCTCAACAACACAGGATCACAACATGACCGAGGAGTGTGACGAATTGACAGAAACAGGCTTCAGAAGGTGGCTAATAACAAACATTTCTGAGCTAAAGGAACATGTTCTAATTCAATGCAAAGAAACCAAAAACCTTGAAAAAAAGTTAGACAAAATGCTAATTGGAATAACCAGCTTAGAGAAGAACATAAACAACTTGATGGAGTTGAAAAACACAGCACAAGAACTACGTGAAGCAAACACAAGTTTTAATCGCCAGATTGATCAAGGAGAAGAAAGGATATCAGAGATTGAAGATCAACTCAATAAAATAAAAAGAGAAGGCAAGACAAGAGAAAAAAGAGAGAAAAGAAATGAACAAAGCCTCCAAGAAATATGGGATTATGTGAAAAGACCTAATCTACGCTTGATCAGTGTACCTGAATATGATGGGGAGAATGAATCCAAGCTGGAAAACATGTTCCAGGGTACTATCCAGGAGAACTTCCCAAGCCTAGCAAGGCAGTCCAAATTTCAAATTCAAGAAATACAGAGAACTCCCCAAAAATATTCCTCAAGAAGAACAACCCCAAGGCACATAATCGTCAGATTCACCAGTGTTGAAATGAAGGAAAAAATGCTAAGGGCAGCCAGAGAGAAAGGTCGGGTCATCCACAGAGGGAAGCCAATCAGACAGACTCACAGCAGATCTCTCAGCAGAAACCCTACAAGCCAGAAGAGAGTGGGGGCCAATATTCAACATCCTTAAAGAAAAGAACTTTCAACCCAGAATCTCATATCCAGCCAAACTAAGCTTCGTAAGTGAAGGAGAAATAAAATCCTTTACAGACAAGCAATTATTGAGAGATTTTGTCACCACCAGACCTGCCTTACAAGAGCTCCTGAAAGAAACACTAAGCACGGAAAGGAACAAGTACCAGTCACTGCAAAAGCAAACCAGTTGGCAAAGACCAAAAATGCAATGAAGAAAATGAGTCAACCAATGGGAAAGAAAACCAGTCAGTCACAAAATGGCAGAATTAAATCCACACAAAACAGTATTAACATTGAATGTAAATGGCCTAAACACCCCAGTCAAAAGACACAGACTGGAAAACTGGATAAAAAGTCAGAACCCATCAGTGTGCTGTATTCGGGAAACCCATCTCACGTGCAAAGACACACATAGACTCAAAATAAAGGAATGGAAGATTTACCAAGCAAACGGAGAACAAAAAAAAGCAGGGGCTGCAATCCTAGTCTCTGATAAAATGGACTTCCAACCAACAAAGATCAAAAGAAACAAAGAAGGACACTACATAATGGTAAAATGGTCAATCCAACAGGAAGAGCTAAGTATCCTAAATACATACGCTCCCAACACAGGAGCACCCAGATACATACAGCAAGTTCTTAATGACCTAAAACGAGACTTAGACTCCCACGCAATAATAATATTTGTCAATATTAGATCAATGAGACAGAAAATTAACAAGGATATCCAGGACTTGAATGCAGAGCTGGACCAAGTGGACCTAATACACATATACAGAATGCTCCACCCCAAATCCACAGAATATACATTTTCTCAGCACCACATTGTACATACTCTAAAATTGACCACATCATTGGAAGCAAATCACTCCTCAGCAAATGCAAAAGAACAGAAATCATAACAGTCTATCAGACGACAGCACAGTCAGACTAGGACTCAGGATCAAGAAACACATGCAAACCCACACAACCACTTGGAAACTGAACAACCTGTTTCTGAGTGTCGACTGGAAACTCTGCCTCAAAAAAATATATATATATTAGACTTCCATAGAATCAACCCAATGCCCATCAATGATAGACTGGACAAAGAAAATGCGGTACATATATACCATGGAATACTATGTAGTCATAAAAAACGAGTTTGTGTCCTTTGTAGGGACTTGGGTGAATCTGGAAACCATCATTCTCAGCAAACTGACACAAGAACAGAAAGCCAAACACCGTATGTTCTCACTCATAGGTGGGTGTTGAACAATGAGAACAAGTGGACTCAGGGAGAGGAGCATCACACGCTGGGGGCAGTTGAGGGGAGTAGGGAGAGACAGCAGGGGGTGGAGGGGGTGGGGAGGGAGGGGAGGGTGGGAAGGGATAACATGGGGAGAAATGCCAGATATAGTATGCACCTAAAGTAAATAAATTAATTTTTAAAAAATACAAAATATCTGGACATGGTGGTGCCTGCCTGTAATCTCAGCTACTCGG